GGAACAGGCTAGGCGGCTTGAAAACTTTCGCCTCCGTGTAAGGGCGGCCCAGAGAACCACGGCAAGCGCGCAGCTCAATCTAACAACCACACATCATTCGAGACGGGCGAGGCAAGCTTGGCAAGCAAATGTCCGCTTTTCTGCCTGCCACTCCCTTTCCTTTTCTCGTTGGGTTGCCCGGATCTGAACCTGTAAGCAATGTAACATGGCAATATGTGCTCTCCAACCCATCTGGTGACGCAAAACTGTGCGAGCGACGCCTTCTAGTGCACAGAAAAAATAAATTGGCTCCGGGGTCTTGAAAGGAGGTCGCCAAGGAGGGTGGTTGACGCTCAGCAACGAGAGAAGGATTTTGGAGAGCAATGATTCCTCAAAAGTATCTTTACGAGGTGGCCCCGTGTAGAATCAAGCTCGGTGCAAATGCCCCTACTGGACCCCGCATGGCATCTCAAGCTTGTCCAAAAGTGAAAGCGTCATGTCGCAGTACATATCATATCTCCCTCGGCATCAAGGCACACTTGACATAATATCTAGGAACACTTTTGGTTCCCTCTCACACATGTAGCCTACTCTCTTGTACGATACCTCTCCGAAGGGAGTCTTAGCTTTTTCTTACCCCGCCAACCTGCCGGGCTTGGGTGCAAGGGAGAAGAAGGAAGGAGATGATGAAAGTGAGGGCGACATGCTGCCAAGGGGCACAACGCCTCCAAAGAGAAGGGTGGGGATTCGGCCTGCATTTTTCTTGCCACCCATCGAGATAGACGAATCCGTGATTGGCTTCCCATCCATAGATCCATAGATGTATGTTCAACGTTCTGGCCGCAAGGTCACATCCAGAATCCGACGCTGCTAGGCCCCCTTCACCTCCTTTCGTACTTGTATGCTGCAGCCTCGAAAAGGTGTTGGCCCTTAGTACGTGACATCCAAGATCCATCAATCAATCCAGCTGGAAGTATAATTCACTCCAGTCCCCTTCACATGGCACAAGACTTACAAGTATAGTGTTCGGCCGGGCTTCCTTGGCCGGGTCGAGGAAGGGCAGCAGGCCCTTTCATCTTGACCCCGGGAAGGAACAGTAGATTCCTGATCTTACCTGCACTGCACCGGGCAGAGAATTTCTCATCGAGGAGCATTAAAAAAAAAAAAACCTCCGAAATCTAGTGTAATAGTGAATGATGCGCATTTGTACCTGACCTAACCGGTCTCCTACTTCGTCGACCCTTTTTCTCTCCTTTCCCTCTCTCTTCCCTTTTCCCGACCCGATCTGAGTCCTTTGTTTTTGACCATCTCTTCTCTTCCCCGTCTCCGACACCTTCGTTTCCTTCTTTTCTTCCTCTCTCGATCCCTTCTTACCCCCACCCGGACACGACCCTCACCTGGGGAAAGCCGCTCGCTCAAGAAATAGCACATTCTCACTCGTTTTCTTCGCACCGTTTCGGCTTGTTTCTCTTGTACGTTTGACCTATCTTGAAGTCCGGGCAAAGGCATTTTCTGGTTGCTTCTTCGACCTGCGTTGGGTTCGTTCCTCAGCCATCGATTGTCTCCAGTCGACTTTCACGTGCGGATTTTGGCCGTCTCAGTTCTGGGTTTGGCGGTTGCTCTTCCTTCGCCGTTCCCCAGTGCGCCCACCAGGCCGTGGCGCTCAAGACCGGTGCTAGGACCCGCGCTACAGCACATCCCGCCGCCCTATTCGTACGGACAGGGCCCTTCAACGGTATTGATTGATCAATCCGGGGCACCAAAGGCCGCCGCCAGCAAACGCACACGCAAGCCGCACACGTACGTGCCTACACGACAAAAGACGTCCACGTTTTCTTCAACAAGCTTTTTGCTTTGTTCTGCGCTGCAAGTTGACTGCGCTACGATAAGGTATGTGTTGTACTTCCTCCTGCTTGCCCCGCTCCCCAAGCTGCAGCGAATCCCCAAAGGAGAGAGAAAAGAAAAATGAGAAGTAGAAGAAAAAAGGAAAGACACTGGTGGATCTCCAAGGGAAAGGGCAAGGTCTCCCGAAGCCACGACAATCCTCGCGACCCCTGATCACTGCCGAGAAGAAATGAAGAGAGAAAAAGAGCTTCTTGTTCCTGTCGCAAGGTCCCAGCTCAGAGTTGAGGAGCTCAGCTTTTACTCTCCCTCCTACCTACCCCTGCCCCCTCTCCATACGAGCTACCCATGCCCAGCTACGCCAAGGGGTTGAGATCAGAGCAGGCACCACTTCAAGTCTGAGGCGGGCTCTTCGTGGTCAATGAAATTCGACTCTGTCCTCAAGTGCTGTCTGCCGTGATAGCTCAGACGCACCGCAACACAAGACGCGAGCGTGTCAAGGCCGCGAGGACAAAGAGCACGTCTTTGGCAGACGACCACGCATAATGTCCGGTCTGTGGTCTACGAGGTCTCACCTACTGGAGGACACAGTGGAGACTAGGCTGCCGATAGGACCACGGGTCGGACACTCGACCCCTTTCAATCGTTTGTCGTTGTTGTCCAAGCATCGAGGCCAGTGCCTGGCCACATTCATCGGGTCTCTATGAGGCGTCATGGATATTATTCTCATTTGATTCTCTGGGATCCTGCACGATCAATCCTTGTCTACCGAGGTAGATACGGACTCTCTCCTTTCTTCAGGTCCCAAGGCCCAAGGCCCACGGCCCACGACCCAAGCCCATCTTCACGCCAGTTCCTTTTTCCTCTTGCTTCCTGTTGAGTCGCAGCTGTCACGAGTGCAGGTGCACGGCGTTGTCTCTGATGGAGCAAAAGAATAATCAGACATCTCAAACTACTCAGTTGAGAGCTGCCGAGTGGAGCATCTGAGAAGAACACTCCCATCTCGAACAGCCGGAAGTCCCGGTACGACAACCTGCGCGCCTTCATCCCACCTGCACCAAGACACGGTACCTCCGGGTCGCCCTCTGGGCCGGTACCCCTGGAACAGGTCCCCACCTCTCCTTCAAAGTCAATCAATCAGTCAATCCCCACTTGCTATTAGGTACCCATCCGCTTTGAGAAGTTCGGGTCGATGTTGCATGACATTTGAGCCCAGGTTCTTGCTTGCTTCGCCCACCCGATACGCGTTGCCCACTACAAGAATAGTTTCTAGTGTTGCAGTAGAGTGGATTGATGGATCATCCATCGAGGAGTAGTTGGCCTTGGCCGATCCGTTCACTAACATTTTCTCTCTCTCCAGTCCACCTCTGGGACAGACCACTGAGCCAACCCTTCTTTGGTAAGTAAAAAGGGCTTTTCAACCATTTTCAACCACTGTCAAGATTGATGTTTTACTTTTGCGATGCCCAATAGTGGTTTTTCTTTCTCTCCCTCCCTCTCGTATCGTAATGGGTACCTGACTTGCCTCGTTTCCTCTTCCCTTCATGATATCTCGTTTCTCTTCTCACACATTTTCTCCCACGCCGGTCCCCCTTTTTCCTTTCTCCCTTGTCCGCGTCACCCTCTTTCTCACGCGTCAGGTCCGCCACTGGGTTTTCGTCTCTCGAGTCCGGGTGCTCTCTCCCACGGTACGGAGCCGTGAGCCGTGAGCTGTGAGCCTTGCAGTGCAGTGCTGTTGTCCTCACATCGCGGCGCACCCTTCTGTGGCGCCACCCTGCACAGTGACACCGTCCCTCGTACTCGGTACCTTGTACCTCGCTCGTTTTCTCCCCTTCCCTCCCTCCCCTGTCCCCCTGTGCCTCTTTCTATCCTTCGAGAAAACTCTCTTTTTCCTTCCTGACGAACCACGCATCCGTCATTCTCTTTCTCCATCCACGCGCACGAGACAGGAGAGAGCGAGAACGGTTCCCCCTCCCCAAACCCTCAGTCTCCTTGATTGTCGCCGCTCTGCACTCGCTAGATTGATCGTGGCCCCTTTCGATGAACCGTTGCGATTAAGGTTACTACTCTCGACCAGCGTTGTTGACCAGCTCCAGCGCAATAGACAGCGCAATAGGCTCTCCCCCTTCCCGCACCAGCTTCCGCCGGGGGCGCGACCCGTCCAACCAACGAAATCCCGTCCCTCGTCATTCGCCTCCTACTTTAGCCACGAGCGATCGAGCCTTGATCTTCCCTTAAACCCAAGTTGTACAAACCCTTGTTTGGCGTCACTCGTTTAAGAGAAAATCGTCTCCCGGCTTGTCCTTTTAGTTCGGCCGCATTGTGTGGTTCACGGCCTGGACCCGACGCCACCCATTACCCGAATACCTAATCCGCCATAGCTCACCTGCTACCCCCGTCATTCCGCTTGTCGAATCGATTCGCGACGCTGCACGCTCTTCTCCAATCCTCGAACGTACATTGCCTCTCCTGTCCTGCTACATCGGCGGATTTTGGGAGGTTAGGCTCTGCCTTTGATTCTGCCTTTGAGCGCCTTCTCTCGTTTTACAGTGATATTGCTCCACGCGCCTTCTCCCAGGTTTTTGTGCGGGCGACAGGTGACGAGAAGCTTGCATTCTACGGTGAGCCACCCTTCTCCCTCCCCCTTTCTCCCTTTCTCCCCTATGCTTGGCTTGGCTCCGTTCGAACCGGATATCCGGGTGAGCAAGCAAGAACAATCGCAAGAAATTTGAAAGATAGGCAGAGCATTCCTTTCGGGGAGGCCAAAGGTGCAGAAACCAGATATTCTCAAAAGAAGAACGAAAAAAATACTAGAGAAGAGAGGCAGAATATGGGAGTCGACCTTTAAACACGGAAGAAACGGCCAAAGGACGAAAGAGGACCAATCCCCCAAAGAAGAAAGAAAATAAGGAAGAAACTAACCTGGGACGAAAAAACTCAAGGAACATCAGGGCCAAATTGCGCTAGTTGGTTGAACAAAATCGAGCGTGCAAAGCTATCTCCAGTTACGTGTCCCGCTCTTCGTGGTACAAGGCAACGAAGCGTATTTTCGGCTCGCCTCGAGGTCCACCGCACCGAGCTCATCAGTCGCGCGGAGTACTTGCGCAACCTTGTATTCCTGTTCTGAGCTGTGCTGCGCTCGAAATCTTGGCCGGACTAAACCATATTCGGGTCTCATCATGTCACCGCCCCGACTAAAGATCTTGTCAGGTTCGTCCATCACTTATTTCTACGCTATCCTCCTCACATTGGAGCTGGTCCCAGTCTCCAATCGCCTATCGGTCCCTTAGTGATACCGCCACGGCCCCCGGAAGACCTGAAATTTCAAAGGCTTCCTGACAATTGGGTCCTTGCATTCTGCATCTCCTCCCACACTCCTCCACTATTATCCAGACCCGCCACACCCCCCCTCTTCCTTCCCTCGTCCTTTTTTTCTTTTCTTTTTTTTTCTGGCTTCCCTCGTTCCTGCCCACTCCCCACCAACATCACTCCGTCATTGATCCATCCGCCCATTCCAACATTCTGTACCGATTTCTTTTAAACCTCCACCCCTGCGTTTCGGGTAGACACAGCCATTACCAATATTACCTTTTCCCCATCCGCTTCCCATCCTTCCACTCACTTCAGCTCTTTTCCTTAAGAATCTTTTTTTTTTTTATCTTATTTCCTTCTCTTCCTCAATTCTCTCCTCACCAACCACTTCAACGCCCCATTATTCCCCTTCGGTCCTGGCGTAGCCGATAGCACATGCGTCGTGACTAGATCTGGCTCATCATGGCCGACGCGATGGAAGATAATGAGCTAATGAGAGTTTGTTCAGTGGGAGGCAACCCAGTCTCGGCCTTCCTCTCGTGGAGGCTTCAGGCAACGAACGCCTGTGATGTCACTTTGGTGTGGAAAGCTGGATATGAACATGTATCTCAATATGGCATCTCCATGAAGTAATTCCCCCTTCCCAATCCCCTCCCAAAATTCTGCCTCCGAGATGCATTCTAACCTACGCACCCTCTAGATCTGCCACCTTTGGCAACGAACGGTTCAAGCCTCGACATGGTATGCCACACCCAAACCCCTCCCATCCTCGACCCCGATCCCAATCGTGTCAATTAACAAGTCGTTGTGTGTAGTTGTGCGCGTTCCCGAAGAAGCCGCGACCGTTCGATCTGGCGCCTTTGACTACGTGATTCTTTGTATAAAGGCCCTTCCCGACGTATATGACATTGCCGGTGTCATCGAATCCGTTGTCACCCCCAACACACTTGCATCTTGGTCAATACGACCCATGCTCTCGGGGTTGAAGCCACCCTAGAAGAGCGCTTCCCTACTAATGTAGTCCTGTCCCTCGTCTCCGGCGCCGAGGTTATGCAACTTGGACAAAGCGAGTTCGAGCACCGAGGCTCTAGCGAAATCTGGGTCGGACCCGCGAATAGGAACAATCAAATCCCCCTTCTATACAAGAAGATATGGCTCAGGCGTTGGCCATGACTCTGAGCACCGGACAGGTGGACTGCAAAGTATCCCGCAATATTCGCCAGCAACAATACGAAAGGCTGATCGGGTATGGCCCTTCTCACTTCCCCTCCATTTACCCCCACCGTACTGACAAAAGTTCGTTGTTCGCGCTAGGCCCATCGCCTTCCACCCGTTAAGCGTCATTTTTGAAACGCCAAACCATGCCGCCTTGCTTGAAAAGATTGGTGTCAAGGATCTAGTGGGTGAAGTTATCGACGAGCTTGTTCGCCTTGCAGAAGCCCAGGACTGCAATCTAGCAGCAGATTTCAAGCAGAGGGCCATGGATGAAATGACCAAGGGCCCCGCGACCGACAGTATCATGTGGCAAGATTACATCGCCAGGCGTCCCATGGAGGTCGAGACATTCCTAGGAGCGCCTGTTAAACTGGCCAAAGACCTCGGAATTGCCGTTCCCCGCATCGAAACGCTCTATACCATCCTCCACAACCTCAACATTGTCAACCGCACACGACCGCAGAATGGCCCTGTCTCGCCTAACCCCATGGCCTCCCCGCCCCCGAGCACCCTCGCAGAACGGCTTCCGGCCAATGATGAACGGCGGTATGCCCAATGGCAATGGCCCACGAGGTCGCCCAGGGCCACGGAACTCAAACATGGGCCCGCCGATGAGGAGAGGTCCCCCGTATCAATGTCTGGCGGTCCGAACGGTTTCCGACCGTCGATGAATGGCGCACCCAACGGCTACGGGCCCCCTTCCCGAGCGACTTCCAGGAGAGGCTCCATGGAAGGAGCCGACCTGGAAGACTTTTCCCACCTAGTCCTCTACGACGATATTCCCGAGGGCGGTCAGCCCGGCTTTTCCCGGCGGCGATTCGTCCGATTTTGCTCTCCGTGAACGGGAACTCCAGCTACGCCAGCGTGAGCTTGCGCTTCGTGAACAAGAGATGCGAATGAGAAGGGGGCCACCGGCTCGTCGCGGCCCCAGCTCAATGAGAGGCAGTGCTCAGATGTTTGACGACGATGACGATGACGACGACTACGTCGACCCGATGGCCGGGCCTCCACCTCCTTTGATCGATCCTGACAACTTTGACATGATGAGTGTTACTTCTCGAAAGAATCGCAAGAATGTACCTGCTGCTCGTGACATCAGGAAGAACCCCGAATCAGAGGGCGCGCCCCCATCTCGCGGCAGCAGGTTCCGACCTAGTTTTGGGCGCCATCGAACTAGTCAAATGTCAAACGTCCCCGGCCTTGGTGACAACATCCTCGACGATCCTCTTGTGTCCTGCTCCTCGAACCGGTACGGCACCGTCGACCGCGGCGCCATGCAGGCCGAGTCCCGTGCCAACTCCCTCACGGCATCCCGACTCGATGAGCTGCAGTACGGCCAAGGCCCAATGGGCGGGCCCATGGGGATGAATGGCGCGTTTCCTCGCCGGACAAGCCAGTCTCCCGGTAACCCATATAGCCCATCCGTCAGAGGGATGAATGGTCGGCCCTCTCCGCCCAACGGATACGCGAGCCAGGGTGGCAGGCGGCCGTCGCCTCCGAACGGAGTGCAGCAGCCGGTGCCCATGTACCCACCGGGCCAAGGAAACTCGGTAGCTCCGCATCAGGTTGAACAGCACGCAGGGGTGAGCTCCCTTTACCCACCGTCGAAAAATACTCGAAGTCTGACTGGTAGTGCGAGCGCTAGCGCGGGCAGTGGTGATTCTCAGCAGTCCCTAAGTAGCAGTCAAAGCAGCTTCAACCAACGGCCCCCGATCGGTGTACGCTAGGGTGTACATTAGTCGCGTCGGCGGCAAGAGAGAGGAAACAACCGGCCCCAGGGCCTAGCTAACCATGACTGGGCCTTGTGTTTCTTGAAGCCTCGGACAGTTATGAACAGCATCCTCGCCCTCGCCTCCCCCACCCCATGCACGCACCGCTCACTGATTAGTTAATCAGCTTGCCCATCACTTGGGTAGCCTCCGACCTCACCACCAAAAAGCGACGAGGAGCGACCCGAAGTGCCTTTCGACACGCCATCCCTTTCCGGGCTACCTACGTTTTAGTATGGGAGACCTTTGGGAGGACGAATACCGTCTTTGTGTGTCGACTAGCCATCATACCATTGCTCCATTTTCCCCTTCCTTGTGTTTAATAACTCGGTTCGAATATAGCACCTGACAGCGCATACTACCATTCGCCCTGGACCTTTCCTATGTTTCCCTCTCCCTTCCGGGCTTTCTTTCGCGACGTATATAAGCATCCTTCTTCCTGAAGCACACTGAATTTTTCCCAAGTTTTTGTTTGTTTTGTTTTCCCTTCCCTGGTACGATTTGACCTGGTGAAGATGGCACGGCACAGAAAGAAGCATCATCGTTCTAGTAACCGCTACAGGCAGGGAACGTCGTTTTTTTGGGATTATTCTTCTTTCTTTTTACTTGGGCCGTTTTGATTTTACCGTCGACCGTTTTCTCCTGTTTTGCGTGTTTGCATATAATGAGCCATTCCTGAGGTCGGTGGTTTTGGAATCGGAGGGTTTCTTTCTTCTTCCTCCCCCTATCTTGTTGAGCTCTATGGCGAGCGTTTGGGGCTCTTTGTGGAATTTGAGATCAACACGCTGCTCCGACTCAGGTCTGACAGCAACAGGCTGAGCCCTAGAGGTGATGGGTCACGCGGCGAGGGGTGCTGAGGGGATTAGGCTTCCGGCGAGAAGGTTCCCTGGGTCCTTTTCTACCGAGGCTATCTATCGCCAGATTGGAGGCGGACGCACGACCATTCCGGCGGCCAAAGACGCCCCTCCAACACCCTCCCCGCCTCTCGTGTATCAGCCATGCCTCGTGGGCCGTCAGGCTCTTTCTCCCTCTCTTATATATCTTGACTTATTTCCTTTGTTATCTCTCGACATGACAAACCGGGCCAACGGGTTATTATTAGAAAGCTGGGAAGGAAACCCACCAAAGCGGGACGGGACTTGCTCTCGTTCGAAGCTCCCGCCATTTTGCTCTACCTAGTTCCATTCGCGCAGCTTGGTAGAGAGGAAAGCAAGACAAAAGTTTTCCTAATGGGAACGCATATTCTTTTGTTTTTGTTTTTTTAACTTAGATGATTAATTATTATTGAGGAAGCGGATATTCTCGCGTCCTTTTACTCTCACCAACCTTTCACTCTGCTTGTTCTGCCCTTGAAAAAATTGGCTACCGATGAACGTTCCGGACAGGTGTGGCATCCCAAAGCCATGTTCAGGGGCACCCTCTCCTCAAGACGAAACTCTACTGATGTATGATGCCACTGTGAAAGCGAAGAGACAGAGGAGTGTAAATTTGAGGGACGTGGCGCCACAAGGGTTAGGGGCGCCAACAAGCTCGGGAAGGGCGGGTAATAGATGACGTCCCCATACATCCATGAGATTTTTGGATCTGGCAGATAACTGGTGAACCCGTGGCGAGCCCTATTGCCTCTTTACTTTGTGATTGGAAGCCTCTCCTCCTGCTGGCCTCCTGGCATTTGGCCCCTTGGATCCATGATACTTCGTACAACGAAGACTACGAAGTACCTGGGAGGGTAGGGCATTTCCAGAGGTGCGGGCGTTCGGCCCTCAGAAATCTCCTTACCCATCCTCTCATTTGTGTCCATGTTAGTGTCGGATTCAGGGGACGATCAACGAAAGGGGAGAGAGGGCGGGAGGGGGTGTATTTCCTGTTGATAGGATTGCAGTAGTACGCCCGACGGCCTGAAGAACCCATGACGAGCTGAAAAAATGGCAGCGCGCCAGCTTGAGGAAAGGGTAAGCGCGGTGGGGGTGGGAGGGGGTGTAGGGTGCAAAGGATCAATGGAGAGAGGGGGTTTTGCAAAGGGTGCAAGGCAAAATGGGCCTGGCCAGCCAGGGGGTTGAGGGGGCGTGGACGCGAAAACCGATCCAAGACGGCACCACGGAAGAAAAGCTAGAGCCCTTTTTTCTTGGTGTGCGTGCGTCAACGTTGAGATTGATGGGATGGGCTGGTGGTTACTGATAGATCCATGCAGCATTGCGTTGGAATACTGGCGGAATCTTGGATCTTTAAGTAGTGTGATAAGATGAAGTATTCTCCTTTTTACTTGCTTTCTTTTTCGTCGCTCTCTTTTTCTTACTTCTCCCGTCTTCCTCTTGGGATATTACGGGGATGGGCTAACTATCGATCATCACTTGTCCATTTCTTGGCGGTTGACACTTGGGCTGTGCAGATGGGGCCCCTATCAATCTTGCAAGTTGGCCTGAGCCGTGCGAGGGGGTCAAGGTCTGAAAGGATTGAGTGCAGTGTGCAAAGTGCTAATGTTGGACGATGCTCGGCGCGTGTTCGGACCCGGGGTCGGGGGTGCCGATTGATCTTGGACCACATGCAGCCATTTGATGCGGCCAGCCATGCGACTCACTGATCTGTTTGCTCAAGATCATACAGGGGATTTGAGTTGGGCACCAATATCCGTCTAGGTCACAGACTGTGGGGGTGTGCGTGGAAGTGTTTCTGGCTGGCCAAGGCGTCTCCACTTGATGGATGGGTTAACGTCTTAAGCTCCTGGACTTTCTGGCAGGACTGCAAGAGAGGTTATCGATGGTATGAAATCAGTGGCCAGCTCTAAATTGACATCTACTAGGCTGGGGAGCCTACTTGTAGATTGAATGGATCCATCCATTGATCGAGTGTGTGCTGTGTTCTCCTGTGGTGGTCGTACACTAAATACCAGTGTCACCATTCATCCACCCCTTGAATGCTCACTCAGTGCAGTGCAGTCAATCAATCAATGTGCTCTCAAAGTCTGTGTGCAGGTGCCATGCGGGGCAGTCGCACGGAATGGAGCCAGCTAATAATAACGGTGGAATCGAATCTGATTGATCAAGCCCATTTCTTCCATTGGATTGGTTAGAATGATGGGGCTCTAATGTTTTGATGCCGTCAACTCTCAGGATTGGCCCCTCCATCAACATCTCTGGATCAATTGATCTTCTTCAGCGCCGGAGCAAAAGATTAAAGCAACCAGGAGATTTTTTTAAGTACCCTCGAGGGCCAAAAGGAGGGAAAAGGAGCGCATATCTCGGAATCGTGTTATCTTTGATTCCATTTTCCACCTGTGTCTCCCATTGGCAACGACGCCCTCGCCGGTAACTCGATATTGAAGACATGGCGACGCGTGGGATGGCGGGGTCCACGACCCAAAACTTGGGGAACAGGACCTCCATGATGTCCTCCACAAGTGCCATGAAAACGAGGCAGTTGGTATGGCAGTTTCAGCACTTCGCCTGGCCCCTTATCCCCTATTTCCCTACCGTCCTTGAACAATTCGTCCAGGCCCGTCCCTCTTAGATGCGCGGGCTAGAATGTCGACCAAAAGGCACCTTCCTCGAGGACGAAGCCAAGAGCAAGCAAGCTCAGCCTTCCCTATGGATAGATATTTGGTTTCAGTTGCAAAGGGCCTTTCGTATTTGCTAATCGTCGTGCACACAACAGACTCATCTCCACTCGCAGCTTGCCCAGCTCTCAGCCAACCTCTCCGATACGGAGAACTTGTTGCGCATGACGGCCGTGCAGGCCGAGGCTATGAGGGGCTTGGGGAGTTGGCATGCCGGGCTGTAAGACTTCCTTTTCCCCTGAATAGGGCGTCAGTATATGATCAAGAGACTAATGGTGCGTATAGGTTTATGGCTGCTAGCAAGGTTCTCGGCGAGGAGAGCGTGAGAGAGCAGGCGGAGGCTGGTAAATGAGGAACAGCTTGGCCCTCCCGCAGACATTACTTCTGCGCGTGTGAGGAAACCTACCTCGATGAGGCCCGGCGCAAAAGACATTGAAGAAACTGTGCCGAGCCAAGAAGAGGAGACTGATATCAGTGTTCTCTTTTTCTCTTATCCTGTTGAAAGAGGGGGACGGGCGGGGGTTGTGTTTCCCCAACATAGGGAACGGCCTGCCTTCACCTTTTAGTTCACTTAGGCATGATACCCTCAGAGGCGGAATGTGGAAGAATGATTTTATGGTCACAAAAGAGGCCATAGGGTATGAGGTTGGCAGCACGCATGAAGTCAAGCATAGGTTTGGTGACGTCTCTCTCAGCGACGAGCATGACGCCTCACGATCATTTATAATGCGTCCCCGGATACCCTGTTGCCAATATGACTCCAATCCGAGAACAGTGGATCACTCAGCAATTTGAACTCGGTTAACACATTCCTTAAGCTACGTCCTGTATCTATTAGATCAATATGTACGAGGTATGATGGGCAAGCAATCAAGGATGGTATTTTTGAACTACTCTATCTTATCCACAACGAGACAAGTGTTGCATCACTGAATGGGTATATATAACTCCTCTTACATGAATAAGGCTCGCGATTGTGCTTCCCACCCTAGCACACATCTACGAGCCTCGCCCTGACATAGGTGTGTAGTGTTGCGCTGCCCAAGGAGGCAGAGCCACCGGACTTGCTCGAATCGTCACGACCGACAGTACAACGGTAGATCATTTGGCTGATGGCTACATCCTAGCCCAACCACGAGTCTAGAAGGCATGCCCTTCCCGGTAGATAGTCGAATAACGAGATAAATCCAGATACGACCCTCGCGCGTAGCTAGAGGGGAGTAGCACGGCGATGGCGGGGCAGAGTCGGGAGCCACATCCGGCTCTTCCATGACACAGCCACCGTCAGAGATTCTCATGGTTCAAAGCCATGGCGCGGATGCCATTATCTCAGGCTTCGCAACTATGGGCGAAAGCTCATGTGCTTAACGAGCCGAGCAATTCGGCCCGTTGTCCACTTCGCCGGTATGCTCACGACACTTGCGGGCTCCGACGCGCGCTGGAAGACCATTCGTTTGACCTCTTTGCTCTGAGCCACGCTTCCCGCAGCTCCCAGAGCTGATCGCCATGTTACGGATTTGACGCTCAGAAGTAGCGAGAAGAACCTATTGTAGGCTGCGAGTACTCTTTTTGAGAGAGAGAGAGAGAGAGAGAGGTGCGGGTCGGAATGTATAAACAATGAGGGCACGGATAGAGTCCCCAGTCTCACGTTTTTGGAATAGTCGGTACGATTTCCTTACAAGTTGAATCTAACGGCGCCGTTGAACTCTCCATTCCTCGAAGGGGGCGGCGCTTTTGTCTTGGCGAAGAGACAGGGAACCTTTTCTCATGACCACAGGTTCTGCACTTCAAAACAAGCACATCCGCCCAGGGCTTTCTGCTATTCTTGCTTTTGTTCTCGACGGCTGAAGTGCAAGACTGGCCCTCGACAAGGATGGAGTCGCAGAACTTACACACGGCCCGCTTGATTGAGGGATCGATGCGGATCTGGGTCTTGAGCGATACGGCCCTGAGATCTGACAATAGACGGCGGGCCATCACACCGTTAGCGCCACCTGCGTGCGTTTTTGTTTCGGCATCGGCAGCTCCAATGCGGCTTGGGCCAGCCTCCCCATTCAAGTTCTGTTGGGCGAGGAATGCTGCAGCCTGATAAAGGTAAGACATTCGAGAATAGATGGGTCTATTCTGAACGCGCGCCGCCGGTTTTTGCTTCGCCATGGCTGTCGATTGGTCCGATGAAAAAGTTTAGCTATCCTGTGGTTTACCCCGTCATGTAGATGGAGGCTGTTCGAAGGTGAAGGAATGTAAACAGTTCGGTGTCGTGAATCATTTTTTCCCCAAAATGGGGCGAAGCAGAGCTCTTGATTGCTATTCGCCGCCTTACAAACCCACTGAAGCAGCTTCACCAGTGGCTGGAGTTGTCAGAATCACGTGAATAAACATATTCTCTGCTAATCATTGGCCCGTTTAAACCTCGCCTCTTCCATGGCCCTTTCCCAGTTATGCCTGGGGTCAGGCTCAGCAGGCGATTGGAGCCATGCTAAAAGCAGAACCAGGCTTTAGTTCTTCTTCCCCCTTCTTCCTTCCTCCAAAAGCCTGCTGAATACTCCTTCCCCCAAAGACTTGAAGAGTCAAGTCAACACCAAATCTTTTTCCTCGCCTCTCTATATCCTCTTCTCCTACACACTCACTGTGGTCATCACAGTCTCCTTCTCAACAGTGCCACAACACTGATTTTACAGCTTAGCTGTGATCATCCTTCAATTTCCTCCTTTATCCCTTAGGTTTGGCGTCATCGCATCTTTACGCGACACCAAGCTTTCACCATCTCCATTGTTGAACCACCAACAAACACAACAACTCTAATCTCTCAGCTTTCAACCCCCTTTTTCCATCGCAATAATGTCTGGTGAAGAAGATCTCATCGACTACTCCGATGAGGAGATCCAGACCACCGAGCCCACCGCGGCCTCGAACGGCAAGAAGGGCGATCTCGCCGCCGGCGGCAATGTTGATAAAAGGGCAGCTATGTCGGTATTCACTCGACCGGTTTCCGCGACTTCCTTCTGAAGCCCGAGCTTCTGAGGGCCATTGGCGACTGTGGATTCGAACATCCTTCGGAGGGTTAGTCCTGCTAAATATCGTACCCTAAGTTTTTTACCACCCCAAAACCCCCAAACTCCTCTCCAAGCAAGAGTCCGTCCATCTCGCAAGCGATTCCGTTATCCTGGCCATATCTCCCCGACTCGTCGCGCCCGCGAACTCGTTTCTGTCATGCTTTACCCATCTCGTGTCCATCCGAAGATGGCGTCTACAGCCCGCTCGTGGATGCGTGGTCCAGCCTCTCGCCGCCTCGGAATGGTGCTGGACTTGCCACGGAGAAACACCGTGGTTGGCAGGGGAGGATGTGGAGGACTTTGTCTCTACCCTTGGACAACCCGCGTGGGCGTGCGACATCTGTGCTCCACAAGAGCAGAACTGAAGTCGGTCTTCCGCGTTGCTATGACAAGGCGAGATTTGTTTTTATCGATCTCTGCTCTCCGAGCGGCGCGGTTGACATTCGGGCAACGAGGGGCGCCAGCTCCCCGTCTCCCGCCCGTTTTCATCGCCGATCGAACATGGCAGACTTTCTGCCAAACAGAGATCTTTCTCGACATAGAGACGCGCGCTACCCATACCGCCCCCTTCCAATGTCTCTAATGAGGACCTGGCAAAGATGGATGTTTTCTGTCCACACGCCGTCATCGTTTCCCCGCCCCTCCTTTTTCTTTTCTCTACCCTCACATTTTCTTGGATCATTGGCCTCAAATACCCCATGCCTTTGGCACCCCTCATCGGCCACGACGTGTTTGCAATCCTACACAAAGGCAACTTTCCAGGGACTTGCTTCGCGATGATGGACGGACTCGGACGGACTTGCGGGATTCCAAGCCCACAATCTTGGAATAACCAGATTAAAAAAACAAAACAGCCAGCATTTACTTGTGGAAATGAATCTAACTTCCGATCGAAACCACAGTCCAGCAAACCTGTATCCCCCAGGCTCTTCTTGGAGGTGATATCATCTGCCAGGCCAAGTCTGGTCTCGGAAAGACTGCCGTGTTCGTTCTCACGACCCTCCAGCAGGTCGAACCCGTCAATGGCGAGGTTTCCGTCCTAGTCATGTGCCACACTCGCGAGTTGGCGTTCCAGATCAAGAATGAGTACAACCGCTTCAGCAAGTACATGCCCGGTATCAACACCGGCGTCTTTTATGGCGGCACTCCGATCCAGAAGGATGTCGAAACCATCAAGAACAAAGACACTTGCCCCCACATCATTGTCGGTACTCCAGGCCGTCTGAACGCTTTGGTTCGCGACAAGATTCTTCGTCTTGGCAGTGTCCGCATCTTTGTTCTTGACGAGTGCGACAAAATGCTTGACCAAGTTGGTATGTCTCCTGCGCCCTTACCCTTGCCAGCATCTTGTAAGGTCCCTCCCCGCTAATACCACATTATCAGACATGCGACGAGATGTACAGGATATTTTCCGTGCCACGCCGCAGCAGAAGCAGGTGATGATGTTTTCCGCCACCTTGTCAGACGAGATCAAGCCTGTGTGCCGCAAGTTCATGCAAAACCCCACCGAGCATTACGTTGATGAAGACACGAAGCTCACCCTTCACGGTCTTCAACAATACTATGTCTCGCTTGAGGAGCGCGAGAAGAACCGGAAGCTCAATGAGCTTCTTGACGAATTGCAGTTCAACCAGGTCATCATTTTCGTCAAGAGCACTCTTCGTGCCACCGAGCTAGATAAGCTGCTGCGCGAGTGCAACTTCCTTCGATCTCGGTCCACTCTGGTGTCAGCCAGGAGGAGCGGTAAGCAGGCAGTCCCTTGGCCAGCGAGCCATGACCTCGTCCCCTTTCGTCCCAGCCAACTAATCGTTGCCTATAGTATTCGTCGCTACAAAGAATTCAAGGAATTCAACAAGCGCATTTGCGTTGCCACCGATGTCTTCGGACGTGGTATCGATATCGAGCGTATCAACTTGGCTATCAACTACGATTTGCCTGCTGATGCCGATTCCTACCTGCATCGCGTTGGTCGTGCCGGTCGTTTCGGTACCAAGGGTCTTGCTATCTCATTCGTCAGCACAGAGCAAGACAAGGAGGTCCTCAAGGCCATCGAGAAGCGCTTTGAGGTTGCCCTTCCGTAAGTGATGAAAATGCGTTGATTCCCATCTCGTCGACCCAGGTACTAACCATGCTTGTCCCTCAGTGAATTCCCCAAGGAGGGTATCGATGCCAGCACCTATATGGCTTCCTAGATGACCTCTCATCCCCCCTCTCTACCTAGGCGAGTCATGGAGTTGGGGTCTGGCCCCACCCACCTCGGGTTTTGCGTAAGACGTCCAGGTTACGTCCGGTTTTCCGGGTTCTACAGCGGCCATACTCTCGCCCCTTGAAGGGCTGATGGAGCCATGAGGGCAGGAATGGAGCTGAGGACAGCGGGAGGACAGGTCAGTGGGGGAGACTAGGTCGCGGAGTGTGGTGTTTTTGTCTTTATTTGCGCAACCTAGCACAAAATTGAAACGAGAAAAAGAAGACGCAAACGAAACTGGTAACTTCCGTAGAAAAACAGACTCGGTCGGGGACACTGTAAACGCGATGTTCATCTTGGTGAAGTAATGATTCCTCCTTGCCACGGTCCCTAACCGCCATTGGCACCTCTACTAGTTGCATACATGTGCTCATCACGGTGATACCATCCTTTCCGAAAGGCTCTCTGGTCCCCTTGATATGAGATGAGGAAGCCAATTCGAGTAGATTACCAGTGGTTTTTGATCTAATCACACCGTTACGCCCATATAATGGCCAGAGCTTGAGCTGGCTTAGGTTCTCTCGCTTCCTAGCCTTCTATCCATCTATGGATCTATCTCTATCCCAACCCTCTCCGAACTAACTCTACATTGCCATACTATCCTCCATACTATCCTTTTATCCAGCCTCTTTATATGGTTGGTGGCCGGCTAAGACAGGCAAGCCAATGCCATCACCCCGAGGTATTTCTTCCCGAGAGAGGCTCAGCCACAAATGTGCATTTGGAATTCCTGTTCCTCATGCGTCGTATACTAAATGTAGGAGAACGCCTCGCCTCGGATGTACGCCTTAGGTTTGAATGCCTCAAATATAGACTTCAAAGGAGGCTCCAAGACACAAAAATGATTTTATATTTTATATTGTTTGACATTTGGTCTCTTCACTTTCAGCCACTTCTCTTTCGGTGAGCATGGATGGATACACATGTGCATTTTACATGCAGTCTACTAGGAATTGGGGCTTCAGGGCTGAGACCGCCTCTACTGGTTGGAGGCGTTAGTCTCGGTCAGGCGAGAGAGATTTACACGGGGAGGGCTTCTTGGTATCAAACAGGCTCCGGTAAGGCTCGAAGGCGTCGCAAGTGAGTTTCGAGAATGGAGAAGGCTTGTATTACACAACGATTGCTTGCGTGTGAAGGATTTCACGCCAACCGACTCCCGAGTGCAGGCAGCCTGCGTGTGCAAGTCCGCCTGCGCCAGGCAGGACTTCACATTAGGTTTTGGTTTCTGGGTGGGAGGGGCCAACCAAGGGGACAAGAGAGGGAGGGGGAAGGGAGGATTTCGTTGCCTAGTCCAACCCGTCCGTCCCAGTTAGTTAGGAAGGATCAAGCGCCAGACGAATTTTTCCAGATTCACGAGGGTTGGCTAGAAACGACGCCTGCGTTTGTGCAACTCTAGGTTCGCAGGCACTTCTTTGTTTGGATGCTTCCGATTTCTACAGCAACGTAGGGCCGAGCTAGAAGAGGTGCGAGAAAGACAAGAGTTGATGGTATTGTATAATATATTCTCGATACCGAATGAAGTGAGGCCCCAGGGCGATTCTGTCCCCCGCCTTTCAAAGTATCTACTTGTGTATGTGTGTGTGTGTGTGTGTGTGTGTGTGTGTTTGTACGTGGTGTGGATGGCTGGACGCTGCTGCCTGGCCGCATCGCCTCGCATCCTATCATCATCCCTTCAGCAACCAGAGAGGCACCGGCAGATCACGTATTATAGAAAATATGACCGAGAAATTTTTAGACCTCTTCTTTTATAATAATATTTTTATGTTAAAAGATACTCCAGAATCCTACGAGGTTCACACATTCGAGATCTTCAATGTTCACCGAGGCTGGGATAGAACGGCGAATTAAGAAGGCTCATCAAGGCAGCCCCAATCAAGGCTAGAAGAAATAAAGGGGAATAACTCAACAGGAATATAAAGGAATATAAAGGAAACAAGGAATGAGTGTACTCGTAGATATGCACCACTCGTGAGCCCAGAGCCATGGGTGGGGAGAGAGAAAAGGGGGAGAGGCACTTGATCTCTGACTCACAGGCTGAAGCTCCACGAAACAGAGTCTTCCGACTTGGACGAGAAAGTGAAAGGGCCGCGGGAGGGGAAAAAATTCGACCCATCAGTCACCCCCAATACCCCTGGACGATATCGGAGGGAAGATACGATAGGGGATCAAGGGCCGATAATATCTGACAAGTTCGTAACGCATTTATTGGGCACCGAAGGGGAGGGAGGGGGGCCTTGTCGGTGTCTTGTGTTCACAGTCATGGGAGGCGAAAAGGCTTTCGCAAAACGCTGGGTCAGATGCTGCATCGCAGCTCTCGGGTTGATTTGATTGAATTTTATTGATTACGGCGACTACCTATGACAGCTTCCTTTGCTTGGGGGTGTCCTAGCCGGTCCGCCGCGCCTAACAGGGTCCATAGAATTCTCAATGATCAAGTCAACATCGTGCACGCCCCCCGGTTCGATTACGTGCCAATGCTCGTCACTGTCAGTGTCGGGAGTGTGTGCCATGTCCGAGCCGAGTGAGTTGGTTGAGGCCCGACGGATTTCGCACGAAGAAGGCAATCGAATCGGGCTTTGCTGATAACGTATCGATCATGGGTTGTCGATAATAGCTTTAAAAAACAATCAAGATTACGATTTGATTTGTCTGGGGTAATAGCACAGGTGGGAACATGGAGGAAAGCAGCGGCGGAGGGGAGGGAAGAAACAGCTGCTAACATTGCACGATCTATGGAGTCATACGGCTGTGGAATCATATCTCGCCATTCTGATAGCAGCTTTCTTCATAACCTTAAGTCGGCTAGTCAGATTCAACGATAAAATTGATCTGGGACGTAATAAATAGCCTAGCTGCATCGGGACCAATGAGGAACGAGGGACAGCCAGTGGTTGGACAGGACCAGGGCTCTTCTCATTACCATCGTCTTTTGCTTCTTGACCCGATGTCGTGTCGGCGTCGCCGCAAGACGGAGCTTCGGCTCCACTTTCTCCAGGATTTTGGCGCACTATTACACTACACCACACTACACTCCATTACACTGCCTGCTTGCCTGCCTACACAACCCAGCGTGACGCCACCAAGGGAGGCCCCGGGTGTCATGGAAAGACGATTTCAACGGTTTTGGGCGCGTCAAAGCTCATCATCATTCATCTTTCCGAGCACCCTCCGGACCGTCCGTTGTCCTTTATCTCGGCTTTCGTGATTAATTCCTTCGTTGTGCGCCGACGACGTGCTGCCATCCACATTCAATGTGTATCCACGATCCCGAGTCCTCTCGTTGGGAGTCACGAGACGAGGACTGGTTCCACCTATGGAAGCCCAGAGGATTTTGGTTCATGCCGCTGGGCTCTCAGTAGAGCAGGGAGACGCACAGTGGTCCCCTGTGTTTGAGGAAGAGGCGGAGTTTATTAAAAGGCTGGCACCTGGCACCGGCTCACGCCGACGACGGGTAGGTAGGCAGGAGGTTTTGTTTGTGTCCGGGTGGCCATGGATGGATCTCTTACGAGGCTGACAACAATCATTTGAGTTGTCAGTCGGTGCCGAGGGCGAGCGGGGCGAGGGGCGAGGAGGGGTGATGTGGAACTCCGCATTCCTGTGATTAAGCGCTGTGCGAAGCCATCAATGGTTCATCATTCCGGGGCTCGTTGCGTCCGTCCTCGATGTCTTTGTCCGGGTCCGTCGAGTGTTTGGTTGGCAGCGCTTTCCCCCACCTGCTCAACCAGCGACGGAAACCGGCGCCACGCTACTCAACGCTTAATCGCGTGATGCTAGAGCTCGATAGTTTCTCCCGCCTTCAGAATTAAGAAAGAAGGCGGGGAGCCAAGTCCCGACCATGACAGCACTGGACAGCAGGCTGACACCACCACCACCTATCCGTCGGCCGACGTTGACCAATCCATCCATTCTTGATCGAGCCCAGATGATTGAACTTCATCTGGGACATCCGGTTCTAAGCGCATGGCGTTGGACGCGGACCTTTGACCTTGAACCAAACCCGCTGGCCATTTTCGGCCGGGCGACGGGGGCGGAGGCGGGGAAAGCTCTTTTTTTCTTCTATTTTGAGGAAAAGACCACTTGGTACGGAAAGTAAATATGGACATGATGAGGCAGAGCTGGCGAGGCTGCCTTCAGATAATGGGAATTCCGACATGCAGACGTCACTGCGCAGGCAGCCGGGCCACATTCGTGCTAAAAAAGTCGTCCGAATATTCCACGTCCACGTGGGCAGTGGGAGCTGGATTCAACCTCCGTCATCCATCACCTATTCCGGACATGAAAGGTTGTCCGACTGCGACATGGAGTTGGTCTGGAAGGCCCGCAGACATTCTTTTTCTCTTCCGTTTCTTTTCCTTTTTCTCTTTCTTTCCTTTCCCTTTCTCATGCTTGTCTTGGGTGATACTCGGTTGCGCTTCACATTGCACGGTCCTGGGGAGGCTCCTCTAGCGTAGGGCGTGCGCCGATACAGTACGGCGGGCTCCTCACCACTCCAGCAAGCGCTTTGTTTATACCTTCTTCTTCTCGTGGTTCCTTTTATTCTTTTGCTTCTTTTCCCATCCTCAGGCGTTTCTTCCTTCCTCGGTAGATACAAGTAGACCCCCAAAAAAAAAAACCACTCCCTTTGTTTAGCGGGCGGATCATTCTCTGGGGAGTGAAAAGAAAATAGATAGTCCGTCTCTGACTCACGATTACACGCTAACTGGCGGACCGGTTATTGAGCCCGGCTGAAGCACCGCAAGCCTGGTCTTTCGGGCGTCACGGGACCACTTACGGTGCGTGAGCACCAGACCAAGCCAGGCCAGCGCTTCGGTCGTGAACAGTCAACACCTCAGCTCTCTCCCTTGGGCGAACCATTGAACGTTACGACACCTCGACGAGGCTTATTCGCACACTAGTCGGTCCCTGGGCTAGGCGGCCTGGCGGGAGGGAAGCTTTCCTCCGAGCTTC